ATTTTCCTTATAATTATAACTTTTAATATAAAAATTACGCTGATCAATGCTGCATTTGCCAGGATTGAAAAAAGCAAACTGAAAATAATTTTTAAAAATTGGAATTTTTATTTTTAAAGACCGCTTTAGCTTGCTGACATGGTGAAGTAGCTGGTTGAACATTAGAGTGAGCTTTAATTTCAATTTGTGTAATATACATAAAATAAATTGTTAAAATGAAAAAAATAATTTTGTTTTGCATTTTTGACTAAAAATTATTTTTAAAAAATATGCGGAGTTTATATTCTCTGTCTCCGAAAAGCATTCTCTACAAAAAGCTTTTTTTGTTCATTCTACCACATAATATTCGACCCCCACATATAATTAAGCAAAAGATTCTACCAGCCAATTATTTAATACTGAAAAAGAATGGTAGATAAGGATCTGAATATAGCCAAAAATGTTTTTTGCGGAATGACTTTTGCGGACATAGGGAATACTAGTTTGACATATACTGTGGAATTCCCGTTGTATTTTTTTGGAATGAATAAATTTTATATTGAAAAAGATTATAAACTAAAACAGAAATATGTAAGTTAAAGTTTGATGACACGTCTCTTAATATAAATGTTAACAAATCTCATTTTTGGTGTTCTTATAAGAGCTAATTTAATCATAAACCCCCGTCCTAAATTTTTATTCAAAAATATTGATAATAAAACTACATACTTTGATCGAAAACGAACGTTTAAAGTTCAGAAAATGGCTTATAGAATAAAAGCTTAGAATAGCATATTTTTATTTAAAAAAATTTTGTCAATAAAGGGTATTTTTTATACAAATATTGACAAAAGCAAAGTAAATAAAAGCAGTTAAAATCATAAAATAAAAAGAGAGGCTAAAGAATTTTTAAATAAGAAAAAGATCAAAGAATTTAACTGCTAAATATTTCAATTTTTTACATAAAAATCAAAAAGCAAATGAAGGTTTTAAAACTATGATATAATAACACAGCACGCCTCTTGTGCAACGTGTTGGCATGGGCCATTCATTCGTGGTATTTGGTGGACTGTCATATAAGAACCTAAATCCTATCGGGAAGCTTACAGGGTTGATCAAGTCCTCTGGCTTGCCGAGGCACGGGTGTTAACACGCTTAACAATAAAATGTATATTTACTAACTCCAGCAAAACATAAACTGAAGCCATTATAATAGAAAACAAAAGGATTAAATATGTGAGCAATATATGGGCGGAAATGTGTTTAATGCAGGGCTTCGATTTCTGCGGATTTTTCCTCATTTTGTGGTTTTTTGACAGGGCGATGAGGATTATTTTTTAAAATGCGGAATTGCGGATTTTTGTGGTCTTTTGAAGATTATGAGGATTTTTTAAATTTTCATGTAGTTTAAAGGATAAAATGTCATATTTTGTCTTCCTGACCTTCCAAAATTCCCGAAATTTTCGCCTGCGGCGCTGAAAAAGGAAGAAATCTGTCTTATGGCTTTCCAAAATCCGCAAAATTTTTGCCTGCGGCGCCGAAAATCGAAGAAATCTGGCTTCTTTGTCTTCAAAAATTCCCAAAATTTTTGCCTGCGGCGCAAAAAAGGAAGATTTTTCGAGTAAACAATTCACTACATCTAGGGACGGTGAACGCATTGGCTTAAGTCAACTGTAATTTTTCATTTAATTGTTCGGATTTTAATAAGATTGTCATTACTAGTTAAAAAACTGCTCAAGTCAATTGTTGGAGTCAAAAAATATAACACATAAAGTGATTTTAATTCAATTTTTGTGTTTGATAATTTTTTGCGGATTTTTCATATCAAATGCGGATTTTTTCAATCGAAATTGCGGATTTTTGAAGATTTGAGATCGAAGCCCTGGTTTAATGAGAAAATCATTTAATGAAAATTTAAAATACAGGGTGTCCCAACTAAAAAGCACTATTTTAAAAATTAATAACTTTTTATTATCTTGACGGATTTTAATCATTTTTGGTATTTTATATCTATAATTTATGAGAATTTTTTTGACATAAAAATTATGTCTAAATTCGAACCCTAACCCGAGATAATTTCGTACTCTACCGTTCTGTTTTTCCCTTTTTCCGCACATGCATTCTTACTCCCTTTTGTTTTTTTGAGCAGCGATAGACAATAGAGTAAACACTAGGCGATAGACACTAGATTTTCAATACAGTATCCACTCTTCGCCATACGCAGGAAAATAAATGAAGTAAGATAGCACACAATGAAAAGAGGGAAAAAAGAGAACAGTTGAGTACGAAATTGAAATACAGGGTTAGGGTTCGAATTTAGACATAATTTTTATGTCAAAAAAATTCTCATAAATTATAGATATAAAATACCAAAAATGATTAAAATCCGTCAAGATAATAAAAAGTTATTAATTTTTAAAATAGTGCTTTTTAGTTGGGACACCCTGTATCTCTTTGCTCTTTAACCTTCGGGATAAAGTCCTTCCTTACAATATAAAATAAGTGATTACACTGACTCGCGACGTTCTTGCACAAATTGAATTGTGGAGTAGATTGGAAGTGTAACAATGTGTAATGGATGGCTAATTTCAATCTTCTATATCAGGCCAATATCAGGTTAAGTTGATAACTCCTTTAATCCTGATATCTCCTTTAAGCCTTAACTCCTTTAATCCTTTATTTTTTTGATCAGCAATAACTCCATTAATTTTTCTACTCTCTTAATCGAAATCAACATATATCCTAGCTGATCTATCAAAATCCTATTTAACTCCCGAATCTTTTGAAATTTTTAAATTCGAAATTCGATCGAATATCAAATAATTTCTTGACGAAATAATCGAAAAGAATTATATCCAATAATTATTTTGACGGGGAAAATTTTTACGGTGAAAAAACTTTACCAGAAAAAATTTTCTAGGGCGGCAAAATTTTTCAAAGAATTTTGGTAAGCCATGGAGGAAAATTTTTATGCGAATTCAAAATGCTAAAAAATACTATTAGAAATTTGGGTAGGGGATCATTGAGTCCCGCCGGATGAGTCCCTGGGCCATATTTTGGGCCATAACTTTTTGACTTTTCAATAAATTAGAATAAATCTTTTATCATTCGAAAGTCCTGGACGTGTGGATTATTTTCGCCAACTAGATTGATCTGATCAGATCAACTTACAAAAAGTTACATCTAGTTAAGTGCGCGAAATCGTGATTTTTGATATTTATTAGGCTGTAACTTTTTGTGAGTTGATCTGATCAGATCAATCCTGTTAGATAAAATAATCCTTACATCAAAAGCTTTCGATAATAATATTAATTAACTAAATTGATTAAGAATTGGAAAAGTTATGGTCCAAAATATGGCTTCGGGACTCAACCGGCGGGACTCAATGATCCTGCTCCGTAGAAATTTAGTATCGTTATCACGAATCAAAAATTTAAAAGTATCAGTTATAAAATGAATTTAAAAATTATTTTAAAAACAAATTTTGTTTAAATTATCTTTTTTCTAATTCTAATTTTAATTTTTTAAAAATTAATTTCTCATATAATTAAAAAAAATTTTTCTTTTATCCCATCTTTTTCATAACTTAAAAGTTCTCCATTAGCTTTTAATTCCCAATAATTTCAATTTTGTTAGAATCACCATTAATTGAAATTGAATTATCTCCATCAACATCTTCAACGTGCATCTAATAGTTGTACAAATTAAAAAATTAGAATGACCCTTTCTCTAAAATCATCTGTTGGGAGCGTGCATGGAATTTTTTGTTTTATTTGTGTTCATTTATTATTTCTCGTAGATTGGCATACAAGAACGAGTGAGAAGCTTAATATAAGCTTCTAAACACTGTTTTAAATTAGGGACAAACGAATTGTAGCTACCCATGATCAAGTTTTCAGTGGTCAAAGAATGGTCAGTGAATGAATCGCCTAGACAATGAATGTTCCTATACTTCTATTAAAATCTCACCTCAACTTTATTTATATCGCCATTTATACTTTTAATATTTCCGTTTGGTTTTAATTTTTTAAATTCTTCAGAAAACGAATAAGGAGTTTTTATTGGAGTAAAAACTTTACATGTCCCATTCATGCGGATTTTTACCGATTTTCCAATTATCTTGTCTTGATAATCTTTATTGATATATTTAATATTATTCCCATAAATTGTGAATTTATTTATATCCCCATTCATAGATAAATGAGTAGTTTCGTAAACTTTATTTCCGTTTTGCACCAACATTTTGTTAAAGAAAACAATAATTTTCAGATGATTGACATCATCATTTATGCACCCTGAAAAACATCCACTTGAACTTCCTCCTGAATAATTAAATCCAGAGAATGTGCTTGTTCCTCCAAAAAAATTTCCAAAATTTGAGAAAAAATCTGGTCCAAAATTAAAATTGAAATTTTCATGTGGCGACGTTCCTTAATTTTCAATTAAATATTAAAAATAGGAAAATCCTAGAAAGAATCTAGTCCATATACCGAGTACAAAAATTTGAAGGATTAGGATTGATTATCGGCATCTCTCCATGCCTACTACATGTTTGCTATGCTTAACAATTACTTTATTTCTAAAAATCTATCAATTTTGAAATCCGAAATGTCTCTTTTCACAAACCATCGCATCCCTGTTAAAATGATACAACAAAGTTTGAAGCGAATGACTACTAATCTTTTAATATTTTTTAATTTATTTATTTTTACTCTGTATAAGCTGAAATTTCGGACTGCAAATTGCGTGCGGATTTTCAATTTGATTTTCATTTCCAATTTGACCTGCAAACTGCGGATTAGGGCTGCGGATATTGAGGGTAAAACTGTGGATGCGGCTGAAATTTTTTCACTATCGGAGATCCCTGCTTAGTAATCCTACACATGCACCCACTCGAATCCATATCCACAATTAGTTACCTATCAAACACATATTGCAACTAAAATAAACAATATAAAGTAAATCAATCGGGATATTATTAAATTAAGTTTTTTTAATCATTTAATTAATTGAAAAATTAGTTAAAATAAAATACCAAAATTTGTAAATCCTTGTGAACCTTGTGACCAATTTCCACCAAACGTTGTGAAAGGTGATCCTTCAGACGTTGGAGATGTTGGTGATGTCCCACCAGGCGATTTACGTGATTCACTAGACGTTGCATTAGAGAATCCATAAAATGAGCGCCATTCATTGTCATAATTCCTTCGGGTTACTTCATCCTTAAGAATGTCATGAGCATCATTTATTTTTTGTGCAATTTCCAAGGCTTCTGGATCATTCCCAGTTTTGTCCGGATGATATTTCATCATTAATTTCTTGTATGCTTTTTTGATTTCCTCTTTTGACGCATTTTGTGAGACTTCTAATGTCTTGTAGTGGTCAGGTATTGCCTCAACAATTACAAGGAAAATTAACAAGAAAAGAGTATTAAAATTAAAATACATCTGTAAATTCAAAAAAGCTGTCATTAGAAAAATTATCATTCTACAAAATATCTAAATTATTGTTATAAGGGTCCTAAATTAAACAGGCTAATTTTTGTCTTCTAAAGGCAGATCTAAGAATTTTATTCAAGAAACTCTATTTATATATTCAAGCTTTATCAACTATGAAATTACCTAGACATTAAATGGATAATATAATGAAATCCCCGTCCAAAATTGTGTAATATAGTAGACTGTTTTGAAAATAAAATATAAAGTGCATATTTAAAAAAGATTACATAATTATAAAGGGCAAAAAAGTGCATTTTTTATTTAAGCCCTTCGATGTTTCCCACAATAATAGACGTTGTAGATGAAACACCAGGCGGTTTAGGTGATCCGAATTTTTGACATTATATGAATTCTATTATGAGAATCCAAAGGGGTTTATAATTTTTTGGAAAAAATCATATAAAATTTAAAACGAAAGCATTCTCGTTAAACTTTCTCTACCTTAATATTTACTTAATTTCTACCATGTATTGTTTCCACAATTCCAGACCTAGGAGATGAACCACCAGGCAATTTAGGTGACCCACGCGTCGTTTAGACATTTGTATATATGAGTAACAGCAAAAAAATAGGGGAGTCTTATATTTACGCTCTTAACGGACTTTATAGCCAAAATTGCACCTATCTAGAAGGAATTTAAATGCTGAATTCAACTAAGTCCTCGCTCCTAATTATGTAATATAGACTAATTTCAATATTAAAATATGTTAAAAGTCCATATTAAAGAAAGATTATGTAATTATAAAGGGCAAGAAAGTACATTTTTTATTTAGGACCTTCCATATTTTCCTTATTGTATTTATTTTTTAGAGGAAATCAGATTTCATTTTTTAATTTTTCTTTTAAATTTCATTTTTGAATGAAATTAAAGACAGATTACATTATCAAAAAGGTCAAATAAAGTACATATTTTTATTTTTCCTTTCCATTTTTCCCACTACATATGATGTTTTTACAAAATTAAGGACAAAGTTGTGTTATTGAGAAAGCTTAATAATTGTTAATAAATTTTTTAAATAAATAATATTTTATAAAAACAACTTTCTTAAGTTTAACTATGTCTCCAAACCCTTAAAATTTTTGGCTAGACGATAATAACTTTTTTAAGGTTAAATTTTTTTCTAGTACATAAAAAAAGATGGATAATATGTGAGCGTATCTCTTCATTAATTTTTTTAATACACCTAAAATCCCAAAATTTACGCCTGCGACTGCTATATAGGAGGAGTTGTATGGTATATCGGAGGACTTGTATGGATTAAGGTGGATCTTGAGTCAAAGGGGGTCCTAAGTGATATAAAGGGATTGAGTCTGAAAATTCTCATTTGACTAAAAACTGGTTAAATTTGTCGCTTATGGCTTATGAATTTTCAAAATTTTCGCCTGGGGCTTAAAAAAATAAATTTGGCTTCTTGGACTTCCCAAATACAAATTATTATAAAAAATTATCACAAAATAAAAATAGAAAAGCATGAAACTGATGAGTGCAATTGTAGTAAGATTGTAGTAATTAAGGAGTATTTTTTAATTCTAATCAGTCAAATATGGCTCCAGTTAAAGGATTCAGTCTAAGACTTAAATTCTATTTGGTACAAAACAAGTCTCTCAACAAAACAAAAGTGAGAAAGTCCTAAAACTTAATTTTTGAGCGTATCTCTTCATTAATTTTTTACAAAATGTTTTTTACTAACTCTAATTTTTATGCTAAAACTAAAAATAATAAATAAAAGGAATATTTGATAAAAAAATTTTATCTTTGTTTTTGTTTGCTCTTACGGTGTTGCGACAATTGAGGATAACACTTGAGGATATGACAAATGAGGACGACAATTGAGCATCTGAAATATGAGGACGACAAATGAGGACGACATATGAGGATATGCCAAATGAGGACGACAATTTAGGATTAAAATAATAATAAAAAACGGTGATCCTTGACCTTTTGAAATTCAAAAATGTTCGCCTGCGGCGCTGGAAAAAGAAGAATTCTTCATTATTGGTCTTCCAAGTGGGGGTCTTCCGAGTTTTATGGGTCTTTCAAGCCTTTTTTATTTTTCATTTGTCGTCCTCATATGTCAAATCCTCATATGTCGTCCTCAAATGTCGTCCTCATTTGTCATATCCTCAAGTGCGTATCCTCAATTGTCGTACCGCCGCTCTTACCCATAATTTTTGGATTTTTAATTTTTTGCATTTTTTTTTGAATTTTGTTTTTTTTAATTTTTATGTCATTTTCTGGTTTTTTTGTTTATGACTAGTTTTTACATTTTTTGGTCCATAAATTTTTTCTTGTTTCATGTATTTACCAATAGGTAACTCAAATAATCTTCGCTTTAGTCACGATCTGACTCTTAATTATCTCCTCCTTCAACGTTTGACGCTTCACCTTCTGAAAATTAGCCAAAATATTTTAATTTTTTAATTTTATTTCTATTAAAAAATATTTTGGAAAATTTTTAAATATATAAATAACTTTATGCTAATAATTACCCCCCTATACAATAGTCAGGGTCATATCAATACTTATTTTGGAAATACGAGTTTAAATCAAAAATAAAAGTTAGATTTACGTTAATTCATATACCTTTTTTGCAACGATTATGATGCTTTGTTAAATTCTGCAAATATTTAGAGGACATTTTCGATCCGCATTTCTTACATGTAACCTCTTTATTCTCAGGCTCTGTAAAATGATTCCAGGTTGAAGAAGTTTTTCCTGTAATATCAAATATACATTAATTATACTTATATATTTAAAATTATTAATTTTAGTCAGTTTTCCGCACACGGATATATTCGGTAATCGTAACGGTAATGCCGAAATTTAAATTACTCCGTAATAGTATTCCGGTATATTTCTGGAGCTTACTCCGGCATTTTGAGAAAAATATTTTTCATAGATTCGAAAAAATTTTCTCCAGCATTTCAAATTAATATTATAATTCAGAAATTTTTAACCATTTTTATTTTACCGATGGAATTTTTGAACTAAAAATACGTACCAATCGGCTTGACTTTAGGAGGAGCATCGAGGTAGTCTATAATTAGATTTTTGAAAATTCTACATAAAAATTGAAATTTAAAATCTAGTTCCTAATCTATCATTAAAAGACCCATATCTCAGCTCAAAAACAAGATAATCGCTTTTTTGACGTCATTAGAATCAGCTTAGAGTTTAACCTAAAGATATATACTTCCCCCATATCAAACATATAGCTTTAAATCAGATGACTTTTGGGCAAAAAATTTTTTACGAAATTTTATGAAAAAACAATCAGATTAATTTCTAAAATTTAGAGAATATTTTGGCATCAAAAAATTTCTTAGAGTATTGGGAATAAAATAAAAATACAATTAGCAATTTTCATTGACATTAAAGAAAGTTATGGCAAAAACAAAAGGAGAGGAAAATTTGCCGCGCTCTTTTATCTGACATTCTTGCCTTTTTAGCAGCCTATCTTGTCATTTTATACAACCTTTTCATTTTTAGGTTTTTAAAATCAAAAATAAGTTTCCAAGTTATTACATATTGGAAAATTTACTTTTGCAAGAAGTTTCAATATGGTCTAGTAAATTCTTCAAATATTTGCTCGACATAACAAGTTTGCATTTATTACATTTAACATTATCATTACCAACAGTTGTAAAATTATCCGTTGCTGTTTTGTTAACTATAATATTAAATTTATTTTAACTTTAAAATATTAAATAATTTTATCTGAGAAATGCAAATAATATTACTTTAATATACATATCTATAAATTAAAGGCGAGATATTTGGAGTTACATCTGATTTAGGTAATTTTTTGTTTGCGGTTTATATTTTATATAAGAATCCGAAAAAGATCAGACACTTATCTAAGAGTTATGTCAAAATGCATGATGTGCTATAATTTTATAATGCAGTGCACATAAGAAAAAAATGTAGCTATATATTTTAAGTTATTTTTAAAGTTTAAATTTAATTACGTTTCCAACAATTTTTACGATGAGTTTTTAAATTTTGTAAATATGCAGACATTTCCTGACCACACTCATTACAAGCAACTTTATTATTTTCAATTTGAGTAAAATGATTCCATACTTCAGAAGTTTTTACTATAAATTTTATATTCTTTAATTTTCAAATTAAAAAAATCGAAAAATATATTTGTTCAGATTATAATAAATTAAAGACTTTTATGCACAGACAAGAGATTATATAATGTTGTGTCTGTTGCCAATGTTTTTAAGATCATACATTATTTTAAATATACTACCTCTTTTGCCCGTTTTACCAGTATTCATAGAGTTTTCAAGTTCGACTGTACCCATGATATGGAAATCCAGAATTTCATGAGGTTTCGGCTTTTCATTGAATGTTACAGTATATTGAGCTAAATAATTTTTTAATTGGTTCAATAAAAATTTAAAAATAAAAAAATCAAAGAATTCGATCTGATGTAAGGATCGTTCCAAGTATCTCATCAAAAATCATATCGTTACATTTAATGGAATAATTCATCTGGGCTTTCAGAAAGGAGACTACATTCGGATCGACAATAAATTTCTAAATCAACATATTTAAAAACTTACAAATGTCTTGATCTTGGCCGCCATATACTTGTTCAACATTTCCTTGTCCGCCAAATCCTTGTGCACCATATCCTTCTGTATCATGTCCCTGTCCATGCGTGCTTGTCGATTCAACTTTTCCTTTTCCTTTGTTACTAGTGCATTCCAACAAAACGAAAGAATTTATAATAATCAAGAAACAAGTGACAAAATTAGCTAATTTCATCTAAAAATAAATTATTTGTTATATGATTATTCTGTTATTTTCGAGATGATTTGGATAATATATTCAACCCATCTAAAAGTCAGAGCAATGGTTCACCAAGACCGAAGGCCGAGTAGTTTGGTGCGCCGAAGGCCCGCCGTAGGTAAGGGCCGAAGGCCTGAGCTTTAACACATATAAAGGGCAGAGCAAAAAA